CATTGCATTGTCCACAGAGCACTGATTTAGAAGGGAAGGGAGTCAAATGGTGCCTGTTTTTAGGAAGGAGGAAACCTGCAGTGCTTCATGCTAGTCACTTTTTCTATCAGTGGAGATTCAGAGAGCAGCTCACAGACCAGGAAGCACCTCCAGCCATGCAGGTCTAGTGCAGAGATGCAGCCACCCTGCTTCACACCAAGCAGTGCCATGTGCAAGGTGAATGCAATGATTATGTTACAGCATTGCCTCCCAGTTCAACAGAGGCCACAGCTATGCCAGCTCCCCTGGATAGAGACAGAAGGAGAAATCACTTCTGCCCCAGCTGTCCTTGGGATGCTGTTTTTGGGCTGCACCTGCTAGAACATGAAGTGTATTCAGCTTTAGCTCTAACTTAAATATTTCTATTGAGATCTACCTTCTTGGCAATGCAGAGGATCACAGCACCATAATTTGCATCTCTCTGATGTCCCTCTGTCCTTCATTTTTGTGTTGCCCCAAGGGGCAACAATAAGCATCCACTTATGCTTTCCTCTCACAGACAGTGCAAACAGGGAAAGCTCCGCATGCACCAAGAACATCTTGCATTCAGAGGAGCTGTTTGGTGGATGGTGTGGAAGAGTAAAAAATGCAAGGTGGAAACACACACAGACACTTGTGAGTAAAGCCTGACCAATGAGCTGGTCTGGAGAGGAACAGCATAGAATAAACATGGTAGAGAAGTGACAACAAAATGGTGTGTCTATGATGTGGGATGTAACCTAGGTGTTTTGCTCCCCACACTATTAGGGAAAAAAAAAAGGAAAAAAAAAAAGGTTTTCTTCCTCATGTTCTCATTGCACTTCCCCAGGATGAGCTGCTGAAGGGAAGAGATGGGATCCTCAACATCCTTCCTGGCAGTACGATCACGCAGTTTAGAGAAGGTTTAGAAAAGTTTAGGGAATGTGAAACACTGAACTACTTCTCAGGTCACTGAAATAGTGCTGTGCAGGGGCAGGAGGAAGATGTGGGGCCAACAGCAGAGGCCTTCCTCTAGGAAACTGAGGTCTGAAGCTGGCTTTAGAGCTGTCCCATTGCAACTCTGGAAGAATCTTCCAGCCATGCCACCTGGCAGCTCAACACCACCAAAATGAGCCTGCTTGCTTGGCAGTAGCTTTCTGCACCCACTTCTGGAGAGCCTACAGATGCAAACTCAGCAGGCTTCTTAGTGCCAGTCCTCCTCCTCACTTTACACAAGTGGCCTCACCCAGCCTCTTTGTCCTCAGGATGGACACTGACTGAAGGACCAATGCTTTTTAACAGCCTTGTTGCAGTCTGTAAGTGCAGCAAAGCTGTGTTAACCCTAAAACTCCAAGGGGGCAAACAAAGAATCGCAGATGGCAGGACAGCACACAGATGTGACAGTAGAAAGAACTTATAGCCTACACACCTAGAATAACTTGCCCCTGCTGGAGAAAGTGCTTCAGTACTTTTGCCATCTATGAAGACCATGGGTTTAAAACTGTATCCCGAGCTGCATACAGGGGATCTAAGCATAACTGTTTCATTGGTACCAAAGGGAATAAATTCAGTGACGTGCTTAAACAGCAAATTGATATACAACCCTATGGCTTTATGGCACTTTGTCACTGTCCATTTTAAAGCAATGAAGCCAACAACACCAGAGTTCCCAGCAAATCAGCCTTCCCTGCTGGGTCTCCATTATGTACCCCCTCACTATCACACCTGGGGTCAGCAGGGCTGGAAATATGACGATGGAAAGCAATCAGACTGACCAAAATTGTGAATCTGTGTACACTGGTGTATCGCAGAAACCCAGTTAAATGCAGGGGGCAGTTCTGTACTCCCAACTCGGAGAGGGTAGAAGAGATTGTTGCCAAAGGTCCTGTGGCAGGCAATGAGACGTTCAAGCTCTTTCCAGAAAACAGAGAAGTCACCTCTACTCTTTCTTCAAAAGAGCAGAAGGAACAAGGAAACATTTTCTTTCCTTTCACAAGGACTAACCACTCTCATGGCCCTGTAATGCAAAAAATAGTAGCCTTTTCCTCTTCCCAGGAGCCAAGACCCATTACTGCTATGGTACAGTCAGCCATACCACTCCCTGCATCTTCCCAACATTTCAGCAAGTGCAGCAATGATACCTTCAGGGCTAGCCTAAAAAATCCTTCCACAAGCCAGGCTATTGTCTTTACCCATTTCAGGACAAATCTGTGCTAGGGCTGAAATGTTCTCCCTTGAACTTTCTGCAGGTCCAAACTTGTGCCCTTTACCTCTATGTTTGTGCAGACCTCAACGCCCGTAAGCCCAGCTGTGTGATGGTGGTGCTCCTGCTCCATGTGAGATTGCATTGCTCTCTGATGGGCAGCGTGGTTGAGCCAGAGCAGGGAGAGTGGCTATCTGCCAGGAGTAAGGTCAGTGTATCCTGGAAAACAAAGGAATATGGCAAACATTGCTTTCCATTACCTTTGGGTTAGCACAGCTATACACTATCCCAGAAGCCGGACTGAGAGCATTACACTCAGTGTATCATCACGTTCATTTTTTTGTCCAGACTTTTCTACTTCTGCCAAATGATAACCCCATTCTGCTTTCTCGACTGACCTCCAAAACGGAATATCCAAGACAATAAAAATGCAATGTCTGCCTGGAAACCACCTGGGCATGCAGCCAGATCCATAGCCCAGCTCTTCACCTCAAGGCTCACAGCCAAAATCCTGCCCTCAGACAATTTCTTCTGAAGCCAGAAAGAGCAGCAGACCAGCAGCTGCGCACAGGATCTGGCCATCAGTTACAGTGCAGCCTGGGCATAGGCAGGGATTTTTGCTGGTGCAAAGTGTTGGTTCCACCGGGAACAACTTTCAGTTCAAGGGTGAAAAAGAGGTTGTTCCTACAGGGGCCTGCCTTCAGCAGGAAGTTCAAAACTGATGGACAGAAAGATTTTAAGTGACAATTCAAACCAGAGCTTTTTGGTGCAAGCATATGTGGCTGTCAGAGCAGACGGGACTCCTGGGCTGTCTGCACACAGATGCTTGCAGGTACAGAGCTTTCCAATAAATCTAAGCACAAGCAATCCACAGCTCATGCAGGCCACTGTTCTTGCACTGGTGTTACAGGGATGGCTTGGCAATCAGAGCAGGATAGTTACACTTAACAAGGACAGAATTATAGCACCAAAATGTTTTTCAGCCACAGGAATTACAGGATTTGAACATACAGCATATGTTTAAGTAGCTCATGCTATAAATCTTTATTGCTTTTGTCCTGTTTCCTTACCTAGGTCAGAGACAGCTTCTACATATGCATGTGGCCTTGTTCTGACAAGCTCTTTAGGAGTGCTGCTTTTTGAAATCTCCTTCTGAAACAGCTATTTCTTGCAAAGCCTCTCAGTACAGGAGCTGTGCTACAATACCTGGTACTGCTCCTTACCATATCTGACCACCTTAGATGAGTTCTTCGCTCTTCAAGGTGTCGCAGAAAGGCACTGCTGTGCCAGCTTGAGGCATGCCTGGAATTGGTAACGACTGCCTGGAGGACCTTCAGCACCACTCACTGCGCTAACCTTCCCTCTCCTCTTGCTGCCAACATGTGCTTTGCTACCTTTGCGGGTGTGTTTATGAGAAAGAGCAATTTATTATTCACACCCAGCTCTTCTGTGAGGATGAAAGCATTGGAGATAGCCACGCTTGAGACAACCAACAGCTCCTGAGGTGCAGTGTGAGAAATGGGCATCCTTCTGAGCCTGGCCCCAGCCTGCGCTGAGCTCTTTGGCAGGAAGGAGCATGAAGGTAGGGGTCAAAACCTGCATCCACACGTGTTTCTGCATAGGCGAGACCATTTATGTGAAAAAATGCCCCCTGTCCAGTCTCTCCCAATTACTGTGGAGCAGTTTCACTTCCCACTTTTCCTCCATATTTTGGCTCTCAAAATGAGAGTGTAGCGCTTACTGTTTTTTAAAAACGATGGCAGTGCTGCCCATCAGCAGCCTGGAAAACACATGCCTTGGCGCAGCCTTTGTCGGGGAAACAGCTTTATTCTCAGAAGCACTCTTCAAGAGGGGCTTCTGTAACTGTTAATATGGACTCGATCTCGGAAAAGGTAATTTGTCCTCATCACTAAGAAAGACAATGTACCACGAACTAACACCGATGAGTTCTGCCGCCTCGCGTTCTCCCACCAGTCGGGGCAGGACACGCAGCATGAGGTACGTCAGGGCCCCGCACCAGTCCGCGCCAGCTGCGCACGGCGGGTGCTTGAAGCCAGCAGCGCGCGCGGCTCCCTCGCTGAGGAGCGGCGGCGGCCCCACGGCAGCGCGCTTCCCTCGCTCAGCGAGCGTGGCGCTCCGTCTCTTTACGAACAGCCTCACCGGTTGCTTTCCTCTTCAGAGGCCCCGGGCACGAAAGCGGCCCTCTCCCTACCCAGCTATCCGGGCCTTCCCCTCGGGCCGCACGCCCAGCGGCGGGGAGTGGCGCGGCGGCTGCCCGCCCCGCAGCCGCTCAAGAGCGGCGGATTTCTGCTGAAAGCGGCAAAAGCCGCGAGCCCGAGGCGCGAGAGGAGCGCCGCGCCGCCCCTCGCTCTACCGCCATCGCGCGCACCGCCGCCCCGTTATATAGCGCCCTAAAAATAGCTCGCCGCGCACCGCCCCGCGAGCCGCGGGGAGAAGGCGGGAGCCTCGCCGCCAGCCAATCCACGAGCGGTAGGCGGATAAGCCCCGCTCCCGAAGCCTTCCTCGCGCTTCCATTGGACCGCCGTGACTCCGGGCGCGAAGCGGCCCCGCCCCCCCCGCCCCGCCGTTTACCCTACATGGTCACGCGCTGCCTGAGTGGGCTGCGCGCGGGGGGCGGGCGGGGCGGCCGTGAGGCGGCGGTGGCGGGAGGGGGGGAGTTGGGCCGGGTTTGCTGAGGGAGGGTGAGAGGGAACCGGGCGGGGGGGGCCGAAAATAAAGCGGGGAGGGGGCGGGGAGGGTGGCGCGAGCGCGCATGGCCGCGGTGGTGGGGACGGGGACGTGCCCCGGTGCGGCGGGCGCGGGGTGCTCGGAGCGCGGCCGCCTCGGCCCGGCCCCGCGTCCCCTCCGCGCTGACAGCCCGCCTCTCCTCTCTTCTTTCTTTTTTTTTTTTTTTTTTTTTTTTTTGAAGTGTGACTGAAACAAAACAAAGCAAAAGGGACGCTGGATCTATCATTGGTTGCTTTTCCTCCTCTTTTTTTTATGATCCCAAACACCCCCCTCCAGAGCAAACAAACACACACAAAGCAGAGCAGGGGCCGGCCGGCAGCAGCATGGATGTCTTGGCTAGTTATAGTATATTCCAGGAACTGCAGCTTGTCCACGACACCGGCTACTTCTCAGCTTTGCCATCCTTGGAGGAAAACTGGCAGCAGGTGAATGCTTTACGTTACTCCTGTAAATCTCTTAAGTGCAGGCAGTCGGTGCCTCGGGGCTGCGCTTCTGCCTTTTATTTCATTTTTTGTTCTCTGATTCAGGGTTGGTTGTTTTCCTTTTGGTTTTCTTTTTTTTTTTTTTTTCCATTTTTTATTTTTTTTTTCCGCGTGGGTAGAGCTGTACGTTTCTCTCTTTTTGCCACGGCCAGCTGAGCAGCCCGTGCAGCCCTGCCTGCCCGCAGCTGTCCGAGCACCTGAGGCCCGGTGACAGCCGCCAGGTCTGCCTTTGTCACCACTCCTGCTTTTATTTCCTTTCGTTTTTGAGCTTAGTTTTTCTTTTTTCTTTTTTTTTTTTTCTCGTTATTTTTGTTCTTTTAAGTGAGGCTGATCTCTTCCAGCCAGTGCTGACAGCTGGTGGAAACGGAGTAGATCATTCTTATTTTCAAGTAATTAGTACATGTCAATAAAAATCCTATCTGAAAGCAGAAGCGGGTGCGGGCAGGTGCATGGAGGCAAAAGCTTTGAAGCTGAATTCTGTAAGCAGGGGGCAACTCATTTTTATTCCATTTCTCTTTTTTTTTTTTTGTTTTTCTTTTTGGAGCATGAGGAGAAGTGCACGCTTCTCGCCGTGCCTTAAGACAATGCCGCCTCTGGCTGGTTCCCATCACCAGCGCCTTCTGGTTACATGCAGGAAGAATCAGGGTAGTTCTAAAGGTGGAAATTGTGTATTGTGAGTGCATTGAAATGATGGCTGGTGGCAGATAGAAGCTGTATGAAATTAATGACGAGCCCGAATGCATATACCTATAAATAGTTATCTGCCAGGATAGGGAAGGAGAGGGAAGGCAGCATTCCTCCCTGTAGCCCTGTTTATGGAGGTGATTTTCTGGCAGAAGTGACACGCCAGTTAGAATCCTCTAAACTGGTGTCTCTTTAACAGAAAAAATGTGCTCGTGAGTAAGAATAGTGGAGTGTGGCTGGAATGACATGTGGTGCTAATGCCACGCACAGACCATGGCACCATCAGCTCAGAAATAATGGGCCACTGGTTTTTGTCTTGCAAGCACTCACGTTAGTCTTGGCTAGTGTAAAGGCAATGTGTTAGTTCTCCAGCAAATGACAATGTGGAACATTTATTTAATTTTCTTTACAAGCATGTGTGCAGGGAGAAATGTGGCCGGTCAGGCTGTAGCTTTGTCATCTGGCTGTGCTGTCGCTGGATCTTTAAAGGTTTGCCCTAGCAAAATTGTTTTGGCTCCAGCTTTGTGTGTGCACACACCTACAAGAGGTTTACTGACAGCTACGTGTGAAGACATCCAGGATTTAATGTGCAAAATGACTGATCCAACTTTGCTTTATCCTCCAAGGGGGTGGGGATGCTTCTTGTTATTAATATTCAGCTCAATATCCATGGTGGTCACATCTGCTTTCCTTTCATAATTTTAACATGCTAATTAAACTGAAGAGTTTGATATAATTTCATTTAAAAAAATAATAATTTCGTAGCGTCGTTGTTGTTGGATGGGTTGCATATTACTAACAGCCTGGGAAGACCAAAGCGAGATAATGTGTTGACATAGCCAGCATGCTTTAGGCAGTACTGTGCGTGATACTCTGTCTCCTACTGCCTTCTTTTATGTGTGGCAGTGGTTTGTTTGATATGGAACAAAGTACCTACCCAAGCTCACTTGTAGTGTTGCAGAATTGAAATGTAACCCTTAAATGGTTAAACCCCACTGACTCTCAGCATATTTGGAAAGCAAAGTTGAGAAAAAATTACTACCTTTCTTCCCCTCAAATCTTCCAAGCAGTGCCCAACGTTTCATAATACATCCTGTATTTACAAATTGTTTTTCTCCCCTGTTGCTGCCTGGACTCTCCTTGCAAACAATGGGGGAGCAAAGCTGGTGGATCGCTGGTGGCAGCAGCTGCCGTCACTGTGCTGAGCATGCTGCCACATGGGCTTGGCAGACCCACTGACATAGAGACCCTGATTTCAGTCACTTGTGAACAGCACCAGGTCTTAGGGATTTATTCACTTTGGGCAAACCGTAGCAGCTTTAGGACACATTGCATGTGTGTGGGTGTGCACCTGAAGGCATCCCTAAAAGCTGTCAGGGCAGTGACTGATCCTCATAGGAAGCGTTGAGGCTGAGGGCAGCAGCTTTAGTTCTGAGCAAAGGGCTTGAATGGGTATTGCCTGCACTCCCATGAAGATCTCTAGTGCAAGACCTGAGTTCCATGGTGGCTGCAAAGCAGTGCGTCTGACATCAGCAAAGCCATGTCCCCAGGAGATTACTTCAGAGTCTCTTAAATTGAGGGAAGTAGTTGTGTGGGTCAAGAGCAGGCTTCCTGGTCAGGCTATGAGCTCAGTTTTTTCTGTGATTATCAGGCTGTTGGCCCTCTATGGAGAGGGGTTAGTCCCTGCCAGTTGCTGCTGCTTCTAGGTCTCTCTTCCAATACTAGAAAAGATGTGCATGCCCCACTGATAATTTGCATCAGTGTTGCCACAGTCCTGACTCTCTGTTCTCCTGACTCTGGATCACGCTTTTGTAGCTGAGGATTTCGCAGCTGGGCAGTTGCTCATATTTCCGATTGTGAAACACCATCACACAGAGAGGGCACCGACAGGCAGCAACAGGCAGGTTACTAAATGCTTGCATGTGGTCAGCTGATCTCTCCCTTTTTCCCTTCCCACTACAAGAGAAACGTGAGCAAGTTTGGCATTTACACTTTTGACAGCACTGGAGCTGAATGAGAGCAGCCCAAAATATGTACAACACAAGTGAATTTTGTCATCTCTTCCTTCCTACATTTCCTTTTCAGGAGGAAAAAATAAAAAAAAACATCACTCCATCCCAGATATATTTTACATAATAAAAGTAGAAATACCTGGAGCGAAGCTGGAACTGAATCCATGATGTGTTTTGCATTATTTTAAAACAGATGTTGGTGGGAAGGGGGAGGTTTGGGTTTTAGGCAAGAAAATGCTTGGTTTTACTGTGTCAGCTTTGGCTGTCCTCCTTCAGCTGAAGAGCTTGTGAGGTTAGGATTGTTTTGGAGTGGAGGTTGGGATCTAATAAGGCGCGCAGCTTCATCAGGAGAAAGACAACTTTGTTTAGTCTCTTCAAGCAGCACTGCACAGCCACAGCACTAGGAGAGATAAAAGAAAGAGGTGGGTTGTGCTTGGAAAAATCAGGCATTTGCTGTACACCAGCTGGCTGGTATCTCAGTATCTGTCTGTTTCTGCCTGATGCTCCATCCTTGCAGTAATGTGAACCGTCTGGGCCGCTCTCGTCCCTGTGAGCTGACTCCGCGTTTCAGAATCCATCTGGAGGTAGATTTCAGTGCTTGTGTGGCTGCTGCCCTGCAGCATGAGCTCTGGTCACACGCCATTGCTCACCAGGAGTAGACGTCTGATGTGGCATCCTTGAGACTGGGATCAAGCTGCAAGGAGAGCAGCACGAGGCTGGGGAGTACCCTGTGGCTCTGCACGGAAGGAAGCAGGCAGAAGGCTGGTTTTGAGGGAGGTGGCTGCAAGGAGTGTATCCCGTGGAACTGCACGTGGTCCCACTGTCAGCAGGCTGGGCTGCAAAGTAATGACTGGCAGGAGCTGGACCGGGGGCTTCAGCCTGTTCTTGTGCTGTGCCCTCACAGCAGTGTTTGAGGGGTCATTAAAAGATCAACGTGCAGAGAGTGTCTCCAGTAATTGGATATGTTTCTTCTAAATGCGGCATTTCAAACTTCAAACCGCCCTACTATCCTGTCCCTTTGGAGGTCTCTGGACTCATCATCTCTCTGTGGAGAAGAGGTCTTGATGGATATATTGAGGGACTCTCTTCATTATCTGTGAGGGCCACAGAGCACTCTCTAGCATGTGATTCCCAGGGCACAACAGGCAGGGAGCTGCACAGGGCCACCGTGCGTGTGGTTGATTCAGAAGTTTAGAATCTACAGGGTTTGAGTGTCATATTCTGGTTTATACTGCAAGACAGCCAGCCTTTCCCACGTGTCATTGGGCAGAACAGATCTTGGTGAGAATAGCACTGTATCGTTGAACTGATGTTTTCCTTTTTCCTTGTCTGACTCAGTTGCTCTCAACTGCAGCAAGCCCTGATCCTTTGAAGGGGGATGTACGTTTCCTGAAAGCACAGAATCAAGGAAACCTTTGTTTTGCCTTTGACTCTGTCGTAGAGCCTTCTTTGTGTATTTTAATCAAGTCTTTAAGCCTCATTTTGTCTTGTTCTGAAATGGCTGACAAAAATGATGCTGAGGTACAGTGTTTGTGGGATGGGGAAGCTGAAATGACCCATCCTGGCAGAGGGCCTGGAGATCCCGGTGTTGCGTGAGAGCAGAGGATCCCGAAGTGGCTAATCTCTTACATCTTAATGCTGACTTCCACTTGTCAGACAGGATCATTTTCAGGCCTATAGGAAAAGTTTCCTGTGGAAAGGCATAAATGACACTGGAAAACATTCCTGCCTCCACATCATCTCCATTGTTCTAGTTTAATGGCATAGTTGGCCGCTACATAAACTAAAACATCTCTTTTAATATTGCTATTTCATCTTGGTTCCAGTCACAGTGCAACACATTTCTTAAGTGCTTCTTAGTACATCATACCTCTAGAGAATAACTTGCAGAAATGGTTGACTTCCAAGAACAGCCACATGTGTAAGGCAGTGTATTTCAGACCTGAGCACCAGTCTATGCTCTCTGCTTCTCCATGTGCTGAAAGCAAGCTCCTGTCATCCTGTAGAAGGAGATGGAGAAAAAGGAAAGACGAACTGGAAACTGCTGTCAGTATTGTTTTCTGATTCCCCTTAATTACAGAATCTGCTGTTATAAATTATTAAAGCATTATGAAAGCATAGAGCCCTGCAATCCACATTACAAGTGTTAAATAGTTGACTGTGCATGTGACTTATGGCAAGTGATTCTGAAATGGAGTATATACCTGTAAGCAATACACAATCCTGTGGATACTGAACTTCAATATA